TGATAGTTGAAAACAAAGATTTTTAGAAATTTACTGTTTATGTAAACCTCTGACACTTTACATAGATCATTTTTCCATGTATATTTAGTTGTTTTTTTTTTTGTCTCTTCGTTGAACTTTATTTTTGTGGATTTTTTTTTTTTTTTTGAATGTACTGTAACTCCATTTTAAGGCCCTTGCTCATCACCAAGGGGGGCTTTGTAAATGTTTCTAGTATTGTAATTTATGGACATATTTCATAATGAACCTGAGAAATCAAGGTGTTTTTTTTTATTATATTTGTACAGTCTTAGAACACCAACAAATAAATAATCTTGTCGCAGGAATAAACTGGTACAAAACTGTAAGGATTCCCAACCTTTAGTCTTTAAACAATCCTTAGAATGCATTTACGGAGTCTGGAACCAGCTGGACCATCTCCCTACCATTTTTAAAACTGGCTCCATTTGGGTGGTGTACATACGGTATATTTATAATTTCTCAGATGATTAACGTTTGTACTATTCCAGTCTAATGTTATGTCCTGTTCTAACAAAGAAAAGAAAGCCATAAACCCAGCAAGTTTTTGATCGTTTCTTTAAAACGGTTTATTAGCTACACTGCCTAGTCTATAGCACGTTGTACAGTAAATTGATGGTCTGTGAGCAGTGTTGTACTTTGGTAAGGACCAATCCCAAATCTCCTGGTTTAACATGGAGAATGTCACAGTGCAACCCTTTTTTTTACAGAATGAAACACTTAAAATCCTTTTTAACTAGTGTGGTGTCAAAACCACACCTATTCTACAATTTCGTACCTAAGCAAACACCTATAAAAATGTTCAACATAAAAAAGTGGGAAAGAGCACAACATAATTAAATAAGTACTTTAAAACAACAAGAAACTTTATTTAAAATGCAAAACAGGCACAAGTGCAAAAATGGTATGTTAGAATAGGTGTAGATAATGGATAACTATTGCCAAGATGGCTTAGGTGCTAACTGTATTTAATGTAGACCTCAAAACTCAAGAAGATAATTGTCGTTCCTGTACAGAGCATTTGAGATCTGTCTGGATAAGGAAACCTACTCGATGCATACGGCAATATAAGTGTTTTACGTTCTCTTACCCTACTAAAAGTTAGTGCGTTAAATGTAACCCGTATATATATAAATATGACTGTGTATAGATGTAAGCCAAGCCTTGTTGACAATCTACTATATTTTCTGTATTGACCAATTTATAAATTTGTATTGACCAATTTATAAATTTACCCGGTTAGTTTTTTTTTTTGTTTTGTTTTTTTTAAACAAGCCTGTTTTGCGTGTGTGTGTGTATATATATATTATTATAATATCATCATGTTAACAGTTTAACTATTTTATAGTTCTTGCATTATTATGTAGTGTAATTTTCCTCTTTGTTTTACTGCCGAACATTTTTACTAAAGGCCTTATCTTTTTCCTTTTTAATTCGTTTTTTTTTTTTGTATTGATTCCCGTTTAGAATTTTAAAATAAATAATAATAAAAAATTTTTTAAAAATTGCAATCGGAACATGTAAAGATTGTGATCACTCAACGTTTTTTCACACCTCCGGTAGAA